TGTGGTTATTTGATAAATTATACACTTCTGGTATTTTTCTTAGAAGTACTCAAGTTAATAAGAATCACACATCTTTTTTTTTTTTGTAAATTTTCACATTAAAGATTTTGAACTATAAATTTTAACTCACATGAATAATTAGGGAGTTAAGATACAATATAATATGAGCAACATGTTCTGCAACTTCCACAGTTCCCGGGTTACATAAGTAAGATTTGTAAACATCTTGTTAAGTTGTTGTATACCAGTATACATACTTTGTGATTTATGTGCTAATGAGAAATGGTACCCTCTTAATTGAAGGATGAATGTTTTGAAATATTTCAGAGTTGGATCACAAATTCAGAACGTAAACAATTGTGGTTCATTGTTGTCATAGTTTACTGATTGCTTTATAATTCCTGTTTTTCATTCAGGGTGAAGAACAAATTCAGTATTTACGGACAATTCCGCAACTTGGTAACACTTCAGTGGGTATGTGGTCTAAACCCACAGTGGGGCGTAAAACAAAGATAGTTTGCACAATTGGTCCTTCTACCAACACAAAAGAAATGATCTGGAAGCTGGCTGAAGCTGGAATGAATGTTGCTCGTCTCAACATGTCTCATGGAGACCATGCTTCTCATCAAAAGGTGATTGATTTGGTGAAGGAATATAATGCCCAATCCAAAGACAATGTCATTGCCATCATGCTTGATACCAAGGTAAGTTTATCCATTCATTCAATTATTAATTATTATTATTATCATCATCATCACTTGCTATAGGATGGGTGACAAACTTCTCTTGTTTATTGCATCATTTGGTTTCCCAAAAGGACTAATAATGACCTACAGTTCAGGAAATTGCTTAGACAAAGGTGGTTGAATGGTTCCCACTTCCCACCAATGTGTTAGAGTGGTTGTGTAGGTTTTGAGTTAAATTGTTGGCAGTTCTGACATGGTTTGTTAAGAGATTCTTCTCACTTCAATTTAGCTAGTCTAACCCATGGCCTTATAAACCCATATATTCTCTCTTATTTTTTCAATGTGGGACTCTTAACACCATCAAGGAGTCTCCATTGGTTTTTTAAGGGGAAAAGGGAAAAACAAGCCCTTGAACTATTTGGAAAAGTTCAATTGCAACCTTGAACTAAAAAACTTCAAATAGACATGTAAACTTGAAAAATGATGCAAATTCTACTTTTTGTAGGTTAAGAACAGTTAGCTAACAATGTATAATGTGATGCTTTTTTTTTTTTTTTTTTTTTTTTTTTAATTATTTATTTATTTATTTATTTTTATTGATTTGGCAATGGAATCTCTCTTTTTGAAACTTATAATAATAATAATAATAATAATAATAATAATAATAATAATAAATAAATAAATAAAATATTATTATTATTATTATTATATGTCCAAATCTGGACAAAAACATTCATTACCTTTTATTTTTGGACCTATGGCTACCTTGCCAATGAGAAGCTTAATGATGGCTAGGGTTCAGTACAGCTGGGATATTTGTGTTGCGAGTAAACAAGATGAAAATAAATATTCGTCTAAGAAGGACTTCATCTAGATTAGATCCAGACAAAGTCACTGGAGAAGAGGAAGATCTCACACAAGATGACTATAGAAGCAGCAGCAACAAAGAAAAAAAAAACAGAAAAGAGAACAAATATGATCTTGCAGTTTGCACAAGATGACTACAGAAGCAAAATAAATAAATAAATAAAAAATAAAAAGGATCTAGATTTTGTCCTAATCTGATCTAGAAGACTAAGGTGGCTTCATTGGTGAAATTTGTGGTGGTGTTGAGCTTGTTCTGTTGACTTTGTTCAATAAAAAAGATGAATTATTAGGAAAAAAGGTTCAAATTAGCCACCGAACTACATACAAAAGTGCAATTAGGCAATCTAATTCAAAAAAAAGTGCAATTATGTCCCTAAACTGTTTAAAATTATGCAATTCGACCAAATTTGACTGGTTTCTCAAGTCATCGTTGACGTAGCGGTTATCTTATTTAAAAATTATTTTAAAAAAATTTATTTCAATAATTCTGTTTTCTTCGTCTCCGGCCTGGTTTTTCGTATCCAACTTGGAGACAAAAAAGTTCCTTCACCTCTGGCCAGACATGAAGAAGGGGAGGGTGGGGGGGGGGATTTTTTTTTTATTTAAAATAAGTTAAAAAATAATAAATTTTTAATATGTTTACTGCCACGTCAGCAATGACCTGAGGAAAAGATCAAATTTGGTTGAATTGCATAATTTTAGCCAGTTGAGGGACCTAATTGCACTTTTTTTGAGTTGGATGACCCAATTGCACTTTTGCGTGTAGTTTGGTGGCTAATTTGAACCTTTTTCTGAATTATTATTATTATTATAATAATAATAATAATAATAATAATAATAATAATAATAATAATAATAATAATAAAAAGAAAATTGCCAACTAAGAAAAGACGGGGTCACATTAGCAAAATATGGACACAACAGCCAAATAAGTGGTAACTGGTTATAACCCGTAGTTTACTGGCAAAAAGTTATAGTTTATGTGGAGCTTTTTTCTAATTTGAGGGTGCAATTGAACTTTCTCAAATAGTTCAAGGGCTTATTTTGTCATTTTCCCTTTTTAATATTGTAGGTCCATGCCCTATTTGCTTTCTGACCTAGCAATGAAGACAGCCATTTGTCCAAATTATACATTTTCTAAGCATAGAAAGTAGAAACTACCTGGTTTCTTGTGTTTTTAACTGTTAGAAGCTTAGAATTACATTTAGTTGGTAATGTTTTTCCACTTAAAGGGAGAAACAAAAGGAAGTAGTTCTTTAGCCTTTGCTTTTGTTTCTAATTGAGCAAACTTCTGACTCATGAATCATGTCCTTGCAGTTCTTTTTCTTAAGATACTGCAATTATAAATTATGTATACATTATGGACTACTTATATTTTGTTAATTATTTTTTAATAGTATCAAACTCTTTCTTATTTGGTTGACAAGTCATACTTTCTTATGTACTGTGATTTTCAAACTGGCAGGGTCCTGAGGTTAGGAGTGGTGACTTACCCCAACCAATCACTTTAAAAAGTGGACAGGAATTCAGTTTCACAATTCAAAGGGGTGTTGGCACAGCTGATTGTGTCAGTGTGAACTATGATGATTTCATAAATGATGTTGAAGTTGGGGACATGCTCCTCGTTGATGGTATGCCAGTGTTTCTTCTTTCTATATTTTTTCTTTTCACTTTGTTGATGATTTATCATTGTGTTTGGAATCACCAAATGCAATTCTACTAGGTTAACACATTAGAGAATGTAATAACAAGTTTTTCTTAGTGGACTTTTGTGATAAATGACTTTCCACTCTATATCAGGAAAGGTTGAACTTTAGCTGGGCTTTAACCTGACACTTTCTGCTTTGAATTGAAGGAAATATGTACTTAAATAATTTCTATTATAGGTGGCATGATGTCTTTAATGGTGAAATCCAAGACGAAAGATTCAGTGAAGTGTGAAGTTATTGATGGAGGAGAGCTTAAATCTAGAAGACATCTTAATGTTCGAGGCAAAAGTGCCACACTTCCATCTATTACTGGTCATAACCATTATCCTTTAAATCTCATTTTATATCATGTATACATTTTTATTGTCTGTACGCTGCAGAAACAAATATGCTCTTACTTGGTTATTATTCTTTCTCATCAAAATACAACAGAAAAGGACTGGGATGACATCAAGTTTGGAGTGGACAATAAAGTAGACTTTTATGCTGTTTCTTTTGTCAAAGATGCTGCAGTGGTTCATGAATTGAAGAATTATTTGAAAAGTAAATTCATATGGTGCATTTCCTTCCAAATAGAATGCTAGTATGTTGATGACCGGTGTAATATTGCAGGTGGTTTTAATTTTTTAATTTTCTGTCACGTTCTTTTCTATCACAGGCTGTGGTGCAGATATTCATGTTATTGTCAAAATTGAGAGTGCAGATTCCATTCCAAATTTGCATTCAATAATAACTGCATCTGATGGGGTAATTTGCCTAAATTTTCACTGGCCAGGTCTCTGGTATATTTCAATTGATATTTTATAAGATAAAGTATTTAATGTATTAAGTGAATTCATTTTTTATCAGAGAAATTGCTTGGCTAGCATGTGGATTTTAATTGTTTATCATGAAATATATGAACTTCCATCGCTATTTTTGTTCTTTTGGTGGATAGTCAGTAGTCATGAACATAAGATCTTAACAGTTTTGTATATAATTTTCAGGCAATGGTTGCAAGAGGTGATCTTGGTGCAGAGCTACCAATCGAAGATGTCCCATTATTGCAGGTAATAACCTCTTGAAGAATAGAATAGCCATGGCTGGAGTGTTAACAAATGATGGCATTTGTTTCCGTGTATAACCGATCAGTCACAGTAAAGCTGTTCATCATAAAATGCAGGAAGAAATAATCAGGATATGCCGCAGTATGGGAAAAGCTGTCATTGTTGCTACAAATATGCTAGAAAGCATGATTGTTCATCCAACCCCAACCCGAGCAGAGGTATCAGATATTGCCATTGCAGTCAGAGAAGGTGCTGATGCTGTTATGCTTTCTGGTGAAACAGCTCATGGAAAGTAAGTGACCTCTCTATGAGCTACTTTTCATACCTTGTTCTATTTAGATCCTCACTTATTTCTCCTGGTGTTTAGTTAATGCCTCTTTCATATCAGCCCTTATGTAAACATAATCAACCCTGCCAAGGGGTACAGATTATGGTTTTTTGATACTTTGTATTAAGAGAAGTTGTGTAGTGGAAGGTTTTCCACAATAGATTTTAGTTATTAACAAACCATTTGATTTAATGAAACAGGTTTCCCCTGAAAGCCGTTAAAGTTATGCACACAGTCTCCCTGAGGACTGAAGCAACCATTGTTGGTGGTGAAACACCATCCAATCTAGGCCAAGCCTTCAAGGTTATTTGTTATTTGTTTATTGGGCTGATTTGTTCTTGCTATGCTTGCATCTCTTCCTTACTGCTTTATAAACTATTATTCCAGTATCATGACATACTATAATTTTGTTTTCTGCAGAACCATATGAGTGAAATGTTTGCTTTCCATGCCACCATGATGTCTAACACACTTGGAACCTCTATCATTGTCTTCACAAGAACCGGTTCCATGGCCATTTTACTGAGCCACTTTCGACCTTCTGGCACTATTTTTGCCTTCACAAATGAGTGAGTCTCTTCCATTACAAAAACTTGTGTGAGACCGTCTCACGGATTCTTGTCCGTGAAACGGGTCGGGTCAAGATGAAAATGTAATCCTTATACTGGAAAATTTAATACTAATCAGGAATAAAGTGTTTGTTACTTATAAGGAAAGTGTAATACTTTTGAAAAAAATGTAATACTTTTACATTTTGATTTAAAAGTATTACATTTTTCCTCAAAAATATTACATTTTCCCTTATATGTAACAAACACTTTATTCCTAATTAGTACAAGTATTACATTTCCATCTTGACTTGACCCGTCTCATGGATAAGGATCCGCGAGACAGTCTCACAGGAGAGTCACTCCTTCCACTATAGGCTTACTAATTAGCATTGTTGAAATGGTGAAATATCAATTGTGTTTTACACCTGACAAAGATTACTTGATATGACATAGATATGCATGATGATGCTACATGATATAATTTGTATTACTCCACCTTCGTTGTTTTAACTAGTTTTTCATAAACTCTGTATCTCAATTTAGCAGTGTTGCAAATTATTACTAACAGGTCTTTAATGCCACTAATTGATTTGTGTTGGAATTGGATTGCAGGGAGAGGGTACAACAGAGATTGGCTTTGTACCAAGGTGTATGCCCAATTTATATGGAGTTCTCCAAGGATGCTGAGGAGACTTTCACAAACGCATTGTCAATGTTGCAGGTGAAGTCATCCTCACCATATCTTGATTTTAAAATATAATCCATTTTGGAGCAATAATCAAATACTCCAATGTGAAATTCTGAAATCATGAGTTGATTATTTGCTTGTTTCAATGGGATGGGGGAGGGAGGACTCGGGACATTGATCATTTCTAGTATAGTCGTTTCCCAAAAGGTTGAATCCCCAACCCCGGCTGATAGAGCATTTGGGAGGATGTAAATCACGGTTACTCAATGGCTCAGCAAACAGGGCCAAAGCCAAATGCCAGTGTGCACAAGGGATTTGTCCACTTTGGGCATAATCCTTACACTGCAGTTGTCGAAGTTTGAACTTTGGTCTCTCCTCCCAAATACTGCCTACTGAACCAGTGAGCTAAGCCCGTGCAGACATTTCTAGTGTAGTCTGGTAATACTATATGTGTGGTCTTTCATGTTCACAAATTGCTTCATTGTCAATACAGAAGCAAGGGATGGTGAAGGAAGGAGAGCAGGTAGCGCTTGTTCAGAGTGGCACACAACCAATCTGGCGACTTCAATCCACTCACAACATTCAACTTAGGAAAGTTTAAAGCCTTTCATTTCAATTGGAGTATTATATCTCAACCCCTTTTTTTCTTCCACCCTATTCTTTTTTGTCCCAACTCCCAACTCATGTTGCATGTTACTTCTGTAATATGTTGCTCTACATATTGTGCTTTCTATTTATTGATTTTGTTTTATTCCATCAACAATGCAAGTAATGAATAAAACCATTCAATTTACTTTAGTATTTTTTTTGAGTTAATTTCATTTTAGGTTCTAGATTTATAGTTGACAATTCACATTTAGTCCTTTTCGTTCTCCCATTAGCAAAATTGTTGAAATGTTATTAAATATAAAGACATTTTGATTTTTTTTTTTTATATACAAAATGGGTTGACCATTTATATTTTTAGTTTTTTTAAAAAAATTCATAATTGAAGACTTAAATGTATTTGTATTTTATGAGATTTAAACTATTTTGTTAATGAATGATAAAAAGTAATCATGTCATAATAATATTAAAATCAAATGAGAATGTTTTTTTTTTCTTTTGAAAGGAATGAGAATGTTTTTTTTTTTTTTTTTTTTTTTTTTTTTTTTTTTTTAATAATAATAATAAAAAAAGACTAAACTGTATTGCCAATTATATAGGACAAAAAATAAAATTAACTTCTTTTTTTTTTTTTTTTTTTTTTTTTTTTTTTTTTTTTTTTTGGTTTTAATCTTGGGAAAGTGCGTAAGAAACCATTCAATTGGTAGAAGGGTTAAATAGTCCCATGTACTAACATTGATTATTCATCTAGCACCATAAATTAAAATATGGTTCATCTAGATCTTTATATTCTCAATTATTTTTCATCTAGTATTTTTAGCAAGTTTCTAACAAGTAACCCATCTAATTTGCTTCAATGGGAAAATAAAATAAAAAAAAACAAATGTTGACATGTTATTTTTTTCATCTAACTTGCTATTTTTGTCACTTTTTTTTGGCAGAAAATTTAAAATTTTTAAATTTTTTAAAATTTTTAAATTTTTAAATTTTTAATTTTTTTTTTTTTTTTTTTTTTTTTTTTTTTTTTTTTTACATATTTCCAGATTATGTTGATTTCTTCTACGAATTTTTTAGAAAAACAGTGAATTTATTTTTTCCGTCGGCTGTAAAATAAGTATGTTACCGCTTTTGTGGTTTTTGAACCCATTTATTGGCATTGGCATTGGTTTTTATTTTGGTTTTGGATGGCACATTTATGAGGCTCTTCGGTGCACACTTGAGAGGCTGAGATTGAGGAGCTTGAATAAAAGCTGATTAATAGACTAAGGGACAACGATGATTTGTATATTGCTCTTCATTTGAGGTATAATAACTAACATGACTTTTGATTTAATGTTTGAGGTGTAACTTAATTAACCGGCTTCCTTTGAGTGTAGATACGAAAAGAACATGATTGCGTTTACTTGCTACAGTTAGAATTTGACTAAAGTAAAAGCTAAGGAACTTCGTGTTATGAGGTATAATGTGCAGCACTGGAAAGAGAGAGATAGACAACAAAAAAATGAGATTGACATATCTCCCCGAGGGAAGCGGTCATGTTTCTGAAGGCAATGGGATATCCCTCCACGACAAAAATATACATTTTGCAGAGCAAATTTATGGTAACAACAGCATGTATGCATTCCGCTTAGAATACCCCTACATATTTTCACACTCAACACTCACAACAGATGAGGAGTTGGAATCTTTCAAGGCATATAAAAATCAACATAATCCAAAAATACGTTAAGATTCTACATAAAAAAAATGACAAAAACAGCAAGTTAGATGAAAAATAGCATGTCAGCATTTTATTTTTATTTTATTTTTCCATGTAAGCATATTATATGGATTACTTGTTAGAAACTTGTTAAAAAATGCTAGATAAAAAGTAATTGAAAGTATAATGGCCTAGATGAACCATATTTTAATTCATTGTGCTAGATAAACAATCAACGTATAAGGGTCTATTTGACATTTCTACCTAGATTTTAATGAAATTCTTATAGAAATACTAAAAGTAAAAATTAAAGAAACTCAATGCATCTATATTAGCAATTTTCATAATTGTGCAAATCTCAAATTATGAAGCCAAAGTCAAAAGTTAAAAACTTATTATATATATATATATATATATATATATATATATATATTATTTAAATAAAACCAGAATACATATTGTAAATTAAAATTCATTTGGTTAATTAACTATTTGGCGGTTTCCAAGTAATTCATTTTAGCTATTCTTAAAGCTTTGGATGAGATATAATGATGAATTTACAAATTTAGCATTAGTAATTGGGTTTTGGATAGAATATAATGAATATTCATATGGATGATAAAAGGAATCTAGCTATTCCAACATAGCAAAAATGGAGGTAAAACTAATAACTATCATATCCAATTCAAGCATGCATCATGACATTAAAGATGACTTTATCTGATGACAGACTGACAGTGACTAGAAATAGAAATTATAAGTCCTTTTGATGCACAAATTTGGGATGTTTAACAACCAGCCATTAAAGTAACAGCCTCAATCCTTATCCCCCAGTTCTTTGTTAGATGAAGAGATCAGAATGTCATGAAACTGATAACAGAAATGAGAACAAGAATTGCTGCATTTTGCCCCATATTATCATATGGGTAGAAAGGAAGCTGGCAGCTTCCTACCATGTTTGTCAAAATGATCCAAAAAAAGAGACCAAAAAACACATGTTGTATGCCTGTATTTGCCAAGATAATTCAAAAAGGACAAAAAAAATGGTCATCTTAGACTAGTGCTAAAGTGATGTTAATTAACAAGCTGGAAAGATCTTCATATACACCACGAAAGAGTAAGAAGTTGCGCCACGAACGAAAGCCAAAGCTACAGACATTTCTTGCTTGGTACACAAATTCTTTCCTCCTACAACAAACATCAGTAATCAGTTTTTCTGCGATAACTAGGAAAACCCGCAACCACTAATTGAAAATGGTACGCTGTGCCTGAGATAAACCCAGGCTGACCAACTCAGTTGGATTGGAAGATTTTGTGTTCCATTCTAGAAGGAGAAGGAGAGAAATTTGGTGCTTAGATATGGCCGGCCTGTTGTTTCTCAAGGGTTATATATATTTAATTGGAAATAAGCTCAACACAATACAGATTAAAGTATAAGTAATCAAGCTTAGCTTGGAATTGAAGAGTAATCGCCACAATCATTTGTAGTTCATTAAAGAAGACAGCTACAACAGTTAAATAGTAAATAGGCAGCCACAAAATTTTTTGTCTCGTCACTGTCAGTAACGTGTTGATGGATTAATACTATACAGAGTATTTGTGTTTACTTTCAAAGAGTTTTGAGATAGGAGTTTTAGTACATATACTCCTAACTCTTACTCCCTCAATTTTACTCTTGATGTGATGTTGCGTGCTCTGATGCGTTCCAATACAAGTGTCTACATCAAATGTTAATTAAGACTTTAGCTAAGTAACCATATTTTTCAACCCTTTTTAAATAAAGTCTTAAACCAATTAAAAGGGTTGAAAACGAAAAAATAACTAAAGAAAAATATGAGTAGATAAAAATGCATTTACTAAAAATAGAAAAAGTAATGAGAACTAAAAGTGTCTAAAAAATAATAGTTGTTAAATGACAAAAACGATAGTCTGGGACTAAATTTGAAATTGCCACAAAAAACAGAAGATCTTTGGTGGAATTAACTCAGTTACATGATACAAATAAAAACAAACTCTCTCACAAAATAGAAGGGACTGGTAAGAATCTGCTTGTATCACCAAGTGGGAAGCTATCCGCTGAAAACATCTCTCTAACACTTGTCACCTTCTTCTGAAATGTCCTAAACAGATATTGAGCCCAGTGATACAAGGTGACATTTAACTGTGAAGCTTTTCTCCTTACTTTGTCACGACCCAAATCAGTATTATGTAATAAGATATCATAAAATGATTATAACCATTTTATAATAAATAAAATAAATATTTTAGCAAATAAATATGAAATAATATATAAACATAAACACCAACAGAAGTCTTCATTAACATTCAAACGTTACCGTCAATAAGTTAGGCTTGCAAAATATATAACAAATACCTTAGACCATGCAAGCAGGTCAAAGAACACCAAAATAATAATAATAATAATAAATAAATAAATAAATAAAATGAAGCCCTCCCTAACTTTCAAACTAAATTAAATGCCAGAAAGGAAGAAAAGCCTAACTTTTATCGTCTACAAGAACAATTTCATCAGCAGCAGGGGCATCAACAGCAGCAGGGGCAGCGTCATCTGCATTTTGAGGCGCATAAAGGATGAGATCGGTAACAGCAGGGGCAGCCTCATCTGCATTTTGAGACGCATGGAGGATGAGATCGGCAATAGCAGGGCATCTGCATTTTGAGGCTCAGGGAGGATGAAATCGGCAGCATGAGGCTTAGGGAGGATGAAATCGGCAGCAGCAGGGGCAACCTCATATGCATTTTGAGGTGCATGAAGGATGGGATCGGTAGCTGCATGGGCAACCTCATCTGCATTTTGAAGCGAAGGATGAAATCGGCAGTAACAGGGGCATCCTCATCTGCATTTTGAGGCGTAGGGAGGATGAGATCGGCAGCAGGGGCAACCTCATCTCCATTTTAATGTAGCATTAGAGTACTTTATTTCAATCAAATTGGTATCAGAGCAAAATATATGAGATCGGCAGCAGCAGGGGCAACCTCATTTCCATTTTAATGTAGCATTAGAGTAATTTATTTCAATCAAATTGGCATCAGAGCAAAATATATTTCAATCAAATTGATATCAGAGCAAAATATATTTCAATCAAACTTAATATGGTATCAGAGCATCAAACTTTACAGAAAATGCACCAAGTACTAAATAAATTGTTTTCAAACAAAACAACACGAAAAGATTTTCTTGAGGTGCAGGAAGGATGTGATTGACAACAGTAGTTGTAACCTCATCTGTATTTTGAGGTGCAATAACATCGACAGCTTAGTGGGTTTTGATAGCACTAGCAACTTCTTTCTAGGGTTGACGAAGACAAAGAAGCCTCAGTTGCAACCATTCTTGGAACCGGCTTGCATAAAAAGCCACTGAAATCCCCAAAAGCATGCTTTGCAATGAAAACGTTGGTTTGAAGTCTTTTTCCATAGTACTTCAACGGTAAGTATTTAGGGCACTGACAATTACACTTGTCAAAATCAAAGTTTCTACTATTGGGAAACATACTGATGCATTCATTGGAAGAACATATCACAGACGCAGGAAACAACACAAGCAAGGGAAAGCTAAACAGTTCTAATCTATTTATATTATGTTTTTCCTTTTATTCCTTTAGTTTGTTAAGTTTGTTAAGTTGTTTTTTTGAATGTCCTAATTAGGTGGAGATGAACGTTAAGTTCCTTAGGTATTTATTGGGTAGCTTTTCTGAGTTTAAATCATCCATTGTTTTTGTCTAAGAAATCAGAAAATTGTCTAATGCAATTTGGGAGAGGAAGAACTTCAAAACTCTTCATTCCTTTTCTATTTATTTTTGTGTCCTTGATTGATGCTGCAATCATAGGGAAATCAAAGGCATCTAAGTCTTCAGTTCCCCCAAGCCCCGTCCACCGCCCAGTGACACGTTCACACATTCCCGGGCCCACAACAAATTTGGTATCAGAGCCTGACGTCATGGGCGATCAGACACCGACACTGGCCAACCTCCTGACCGCGATTGAGGCCTTGAGGGTTGATCAGGAGGCTGTGAAGGCTGAGCAGGCAGAATTCCGGGCGATGTTCCGGCAGCTCATGGCCGGGAAGGAAGCTGCGTCCAGCAGCGACGCCACGCCACCTCCGGTGCAGGTTGCACCGGCTCCCCCTACCACGACCCCGAAATTCACCAGGCTGGAGTTCCCCCGATTCAACGGGCGAGAGGACCCCTCCGGCTGGCTTCACCACTGCGAACAGTTTTTTCGAGCCCAGAACACCCCGCAGCAGGATTTCGTTAGCTTGGCAGCTTTCCACCTGACGGGGGTGGCGCAGCTGCGGCATTTCAGATTAGAATTGGAGGAACCAGACCTTACCTAGGCTCAGTTCAAGCAGCGCTGTTATCTCCGCTTTGGACCCGGACTCCGGAGCAACGCGCTGGGCTCTCTCGTAAAGCTGAACCAGGATGGCCGCTCCATTGAGGACTACAACGACGAGTTCCAGGCTTCGCTGCTACGAACGTCGGCAGTCCGCCACGACCAAGTTGTGGACCTCTACACCGCCGGCTTAGACGATTGGCTCCGAATAGATGTCGAGAATCAGCGACCGATGAACCTGGATGTGGCCATGAACCTAGCCCGATCGTACGCTTGCCGGTAGTACACCGCCCCGGACCACCGACTCCAGGGCCCTTACCCGTCGTTTTCACACTTCGCCGGTGGACCTTCGCCGGTGGCAGCGCCGTCGCGGCCGGTGGTGCGACCAGGGCAGGCGGGTACGGCGCGACCAGGGCTGGCTGCTCCGACGAACTCAGTGGCGAGTTCAGCCGGCAGTGTGTCCGTCGCGAACCCCAGGGCGCCGAAACCTAGGGCGGCGTCATCCACCGCCGGCGGTTCGCGGGGAGTTTCGTCGCAGTTTCCCTCGGAGCGTCGTCTCTCCCGGTCGGACTACCAATACCGCAGATCTAAAGGGTTTTGTTTTCATTGAGATGAACCCTGGCCTGTGTCGCATAACTGTCAGCGCTTGTTTTATTTTATAATTGATGATGGTGCAGGTACTTTGGCCCATACAAGTGATTTGGGCCACACAGATGATTTGGGCCCAGATGAGTTGGGCCACGCCCAAATGGATTGCACACAAGCAGATTTGGAACACCCAGAAATTTCGCTACACGCCATTACGGGAACTAGTCGCGGCAACACAATGCGCGTTCAATTGCGGATTAATACCTTTCCAATTACGGCTTTGATTGATTCAGGAAGTACGCATAATTTCATGGACGTAGGTACCGCTACGCGATTGGGTTTACCGGTTCGCGAGTGTCCTTTTTTGCAAGTGGCGGTGGCGAACGGGGAGCGCATCACCGGGCTCGGAGTTTGTGAAGACATCCTCTTTCAGAAAAATGATCATTTATTTCCTGTTCATTTATATGTTATTCCTTTAGTTGGCTTTGAAATTGTACTCGGTGTAAACTGGTTACGCACACTAGGTGCCATTATTTGGGATTTCATGGCACTAACCATGACCTTCTCGTATGGCAATCAATCTATCACGTGGCAAGGGAAAAATGACCCGCCCAGTCATCTAGTTAATGCTATACAGTCATAGGTCAGTGTCACTAATGCCTTGGACCATGTTTTAACCGACTATTCTACCCTTTTTCAGGAACCTACGGCACTGCCGCCCCAACGCCAATGCGATCACCGTATTACATTGGTTACGGGCGCAGACCCGGTAGCAGTCCGTCCATATCGCTATCCTCAAGCTCAAAAGGATGAAATCGAGCGGCAATGTCGCTCTATGCTAGAACTCGGCCTTATTCGGCCCAACCACTCGCCATATTCCTCCCCAGTTTTGTTGGTTCTTAAGCAAGATCGCTCGTGGCGATTTTGTATTGACTACAGGGAGTTGAACGTCAAGACCATAAAAGATATGTTCCCGATTCCGGTTATCGACGAGCTTTTGGATGAGTTACATGGGTCTCGTTTTTTTACGAAATTGGACTTACGTTCCGGTTACCATCAGATCCGCATGCATCCGGCGGATGTTGAGAAGACGGCCTTCCGTACACACCACAGCCATTTTGAGTTCTTGGTTATGCCTTTTGGCCTCTGCAACGCACCATCGACATTCCAAGCTCTCATGAATGAGGTTTTTCACTCTGTACTTCGTAAGTTCGTTTTGGTTTTTTTTAACGATATTTTAATTTATAGCAGGTCTTGGGCGAAGCACGTCTCTCATGTACGGACAGTTTTTGCTCTCCTTCGTCGTCATCAACTGTTAGTCAAAAAATCCAAGTGTTCGTTTGGTGTCGACAGGGTCGGTTACCTCGGCCACATTATCGATGCCACTGGAGTTTCTATGGACTCCAGCAACGTCCAGACGGTCTTGGACTGGCCGCAGTCGCATTCTGTTAAGGGTCTGCGCGGATTTCTTGGTCTGCCCGGATTCTATCGTAAGTTCATTAAAGATTTTGGCGTCATCGCGGCTCCGTTGACATCTCTTCTTCGGAAACATAGCTTCGTGTGGACGCCGGAGGCAACGGCAGCCTTTAAGGAACTTAAAACCGCGCTTACCACGGTGCCGGTGTTGCAACTTCCGGATTTCTCTAAGCCGTTTGTGGTTGAATGTGACGCCTCAGGGGTGGGCGTAGGTGCCGTTTTTCACCAAGATAACCACCCGGTGGCTTTCTTTAGTCGGCGTCTCGCCACTCGACATCACAAACTGGCCTCGTATGAACAGGAGTTGATAGGGTTATCTCAGGCGATTCGGCATTGGCGACACTACCTATGGGGTCGTCCCTTCACGGTCCGTACCGATCACTATAGCTTGAAGTTCCTACTTCAGCAACGCCTCACCACGTCTCCCCAACATCATTGGATTAGTAAACTTCTGGGTTATGACTTTGAAGTGGAGTTCCGTGCGGGTCGCCTCAATACGGTGGCAGCTGCATTATCACGGCGTGACGAGGATTCTATTTCTCTCATGGCTCTATCCACTCCAGTCTCCCCCATTTTCGATTCCCTTCGTCGTGAACTCGCTGCTTTGGATACTGCTCAAGTCTTATTTGGCAAAATTCGGGACGGCGTCAAAGGACCTCACTGGTCCCTAGAGGGCGACCTCATCCATTACAAAGGTAAGCTCTATATTCCCCCGGATTCTCCACTAATCCCGGTTATCATTGCAGGGTTTCACGACAATTAGCACGAAGGAGCCCAGAAAACGATTTTTCGCGTGTCCCGGAAGTTCTTTTGGCCCGGCTTGCGGCGTGCCGTCCGCGACTACATCCGGAAGTGCCCTACATGCCAACGTTGCAAGGGGGAGAATTTTCATCCGGCTGGTCTCCTCCAACCCCTGCCAATTCCGTCGCTTATCTGGAGCAACATTTCGTTGGACTTCGTCGAAGGCCTACCGAAGGTTCACGGTAAATCGGTGATTCTGTCCGTCGTCGACCGCTTGTCCAAGTACGCACATTTCATCCCTCTCGGCCACCCTTATACGGCGACCTCCGTTGCGAGCCTGTTCTTTGCACACGTTGTCAAACTCCATGGGGTCCCGGAGTCTATTGTCAGTGATCGCGATGTAACGTTCACTAGTGCCTTTTGGAAGGAGTTGTTTCGGTTCACCGGGACCACTCTATCGTTTTCCTCGGATTATCACCCGCAGACTGAAGTGAAAAACCGCACAATTGCGATGTACCTACGTTGCCTGGTAGGTGATTACCCTAGGAAGTGGGTTGACTACCTCCCTTGGGCCGAATACTGTTACAACACCTCGTTCCACTCGGCGTTACAGACTTTACCCTTCCGTGTGGTTTACGGTCGCGTCCCACCGCGTCTCTTGTCCTACGAACCAGGGATGTCCACTATTGACGCCGTTGATGTTGCTCTTCGAGACCGCGATGCCCTTCTGCACTTGGTTCGGAACACCTTCAGAATGCTCAGG